TCTTGGCCGTCCTTTGGCTAAGCGTCGCATTTGCTATTGGTGCTGGTCTCTTCTGGCTATTCTCCATCTGCTGCTGCAAGCCAGAGAATCGTCCTCATCGCAGCAGAGGCACACGCCACCTCGACGACGAGAAGCTCCTTCCTACCGGCTCCTACGCGCCTCTGGGCGACAACCGCAATTCCAGCCACGGTGGATACAACTATGGTGGTCCTCAGCGCGGCGGTGCCCGAACAGATCTGGCTTACGAGCCCTACTCTCATTCTCGTGTTTAAGATATGGGATTGAAACCGCACCGAAAAGACTGTATTACGAATAGATCAGAGAATTAATGACCTTTGGGGTTGCATTTGGCGGCGTTGGGTATGATGTTTTAGGACCTGCAAGGGACCGATCTCGTTTCAAGGGGATACCCCAGTCCATTTTCCATAGATCGGAAGTTTACTCCGTAATGCAATGAATAAACGATCGATATTCTGAAACCAGATTGAGCTTTTTATAGTTGTTTCGTGAAACATGTAGAATTGCTGAGATTGCTTGAACCTCATTAATCATCACGTGCTTAGAACTTGAATGCGAACTCAATGGGCCCATCAGCACCAAAATCACCTAAAGTAGGTACCTAATGTGAATAGTACCCGCTAGCATTTTTTTCTAACACCTGGGCCTACGATGCTCTAGTGTATCACCCTTGAATTTAGGAATCCGTCGTATGTCGCTGCTATGAGACCTCCTAAGCGATGTCTCACGAGGTCAGTTCTCCCTTCCATTTGTGTCAAAAAAATTTCCTGTCAGCCGATGAGACTCCACAATAGCAAATGGCCCACCAGGATTTCACGAAGTCACACGATCCAGCATATCCCCGCCATGTATCGAGTATGGCCTTGTATAATATAGCATGGTTATTAATTGCAGTCAGTTGCAGGCTGGCCGATTGCGCCGTGAGCATGTACTGAGCCCGATCACGGCGCTTGCGTTCGTGGCCCTACACGGGAAGCAATTCCTTCTCGCGGCCGAGGACACGGATATCAAGGTATACGATGTCGTAACCTCACGGCTTCGTGCCACGCTGTGTATATTCGAAGCGCAGCCCATTCACGGAATCTCTGTGCCCCCTGTTACTGAGGACGGCAGCAGCAGCAACTCTGGTGCTCCTGACAGCCCCGCTCGGATACTCATCTGGGGCGGCAACGCTGTCAAAGTCATATCGGTTCGTGCCATCGAAGAGTTGGTTTACGCTAGCCATAAGAATGGCGATGGTAGTATACGTAGTGACGTTCGTCGCGGAGATGAGGCTATAGGCACGGCTCTCTCTGCGCCCGAAGCTGTAGCTCCAGACTGGATATTCGACGGCCGTATTTCGCCTTTCGATAACAGTCGAATTGTGCTGCTCACGGCACATAACGAAGTTATTCAGGGGCGAGTGAGTGCAGATCAGAAGAATCTCGTTCTAGGACAAGTTCAGTCCCCTTCACGACCTATCCTGTACTCAGGAAATTTCTACTGGACCGAACGAGAATATGTGCTTGTGGCCGCCGGGACAGTGTTCGGCGAGATCGTGGTCTGGAAGTGCCACCTTGGATACAAGAACGGCATTGATGAGGTTGCTAACAATAGCGAGGGAGACGATCCGAAAGAAAGGAGAGAGACAGCCGGGTGCGAGATCTTATATGTGCTCTCAGGTCACGAGGGCTCAATCTTCGGCGTGCACATAGCGCCTGAAATGCTAACGAAATCTGGAGAGAATATTCGACTTCTTGCAAGTTGTAGTGATGACAGGACCATCCGAATCTGGGACATTACAGAACGAAGCTACGGGCTTCCGAATGGAGGAGGCGGGTACGGGACAAAAATTTCCGATGCGAGGCAGACTGGATTTGGCGATTCGATCATAGGCTCGGTGGGAACAGTGAATAGTCATTCGAGATGTGTTGCAATGGCAATGGGCCACATCTCCAGAATATGGCAAGTCGAGATTAGGAGCATAGATTCTCTTTCTGGCGGAGGAATGGTCGAGGTCTATTCTTTTGGCGAGGATGCTACGATGCAAAAGTGGCATCTTGAGCTGAATACCGCCCAGAAGTCAACGCTCTCTCATCACGAAACTTTTTCAAATCACAGCGGGAAGCAAATTTGGTCACACGCCATTCTCTCTGATCGAAAAGGTCTGCTAATAGCTACTGGAGGCGGAGATGGCAAAATAGCCCTTACAGAACTCGACTCCTCTCATACATCAAGAAATTTAGACGATATTACAGCAAGCAACGCCGTGCACTACCCACGGTCTGTCCTAGAATTCGAGATTTCTCCTTCATACCTTATTGAGAGGTGCACGCATCCAAGTCCAGAAAATGCCCCTTCAATATCGACTTATAAGCATGGCAATGGAAAAGAGATGTTCCAAAGCTTCACTTTCATCACAGACGACCAGCTACTCATCACAACAAGATCAGGCCGCTTGTTCCTCGGTAGCTTTGCTGACAAAGTAACGTGGAGAGAACTCAATTTTCCTACTGCGATCCAGAAAATCATACAATCATATACTATACTCAGAAGTTCCAGACGAGCTTCAACGGCTTTCATTGGCGCTCCTAACGGCGAGTTATTCTATTACTATGAAGCTAGCGGCGATTCGCTCAGGTCAATCTACAAGGCCGAGCGAAAGATCACAGATATTTTCTGTCTCTCTGACACTCTAGCCTCGCCTTCTCATGCAGCCCACGGTTCAAACGAGGAGCTTGGAACCGAACTTCTCGTCACAGCTTTCGGAAGCACGAAGGCGGAGATTCTTCGACTCGATAAGCATCGTACTTTAATACAACACATTGAGGTAGCAGTGCCAGCTGAATTTATTGTGACTACAGCCGCGTGGTGCCATAGTTACCTCACTCTCGGCTCCAGGAGCGGTAACATTGCGGTCTTTTCTACAACTACAGATGGTAGTTTCTGTCTCCTTTCGATCATAGAAGTTAAGCTTGGTGACAAGATCACGTCAATCCTCCCGCTTCCAAGATGCTCTGAGGACTCTCCACTCTATTTCCTGACAACCGCTCGTGATGGGAAATACAGGATCCATGAGATCCTCAATTCAATGGATAACTTCGAAGTGCGCTTGCTTCACGAGACAATACCGCCGTTTGGGCCCATGATCGAAGGATCGTGGCTATTCGAAAACCCAGATGGAAAACAAGACCTCATGCTCTGCGGATTCCGGGGCAAATATTTCATAGTCTGGAACGTGACACAGCAAAGGGAAGTCACAGCGATTGATTGTGGCGGTGGACATCGTATCTTTGATCAGGTCCAGATCAGGGGAAATCCTGAAGGGTTGAGATTTGCTTGTACGAAAGCCTCTCAGATGAAGATCTTCTCGCAGAAGCGCGCTCCCCATCTGCCGCTGAAGGCAGGCGGCCACGGTCGTGAGATCAAATCCTTATCGGCCTCGAGGCAGTATGTGGCTACCGCCGCCGAAGACACTGTGATTCGTATTTGGAAACTTGACCCGAAGAATCAAGGTGAAGAAGAACAACGACTACAGTGTGTGCTGGCCTTGGAGAAGCACAACCCAGGTATCCAGAAGCTGAAGTGGTTCAAAAATCAGTATCTCTTCAGCAGCGGCGGTAATGAGGAGTTCTTTGCCTGGCGTGTCACGTCGCTAGACAGCGATATATGCCCCCTTGGTGTCGTGTGCGAGGCTGTATTCCCCGATCGCACTGAGATGGGCGATTTACGCATCACGGATTTCGACGTGGAGTGCTTGAAGGAGAATGCCAGTCCTAATAACACTTCGTCGCAGATGGAGCTAAGATTTTGTATCACAATGAGTCTCTCAAACTCTACAATACAGAGTTACCTCTACTCTGCGCGAGATGGGTTCCAACTCCTAGGTCGGCGCATGTATACTGGTGCTTGCCTCACGCAGCTGAGACATCTAATTTTGACCAACCATTGCTATCCGCAAGTTTTAACAGCCGCCACAGACGGTCATCTAGCCGTGTTTACCGACATACGGTCTACGAGAGACGAGGCGGAGGATCCGGCAGATATACATGTCATGAAAGTCCATCAGAGCACTATTAAATCACTCGACATGCGTAGCATCACTACTGGCAGTGGCACTTCGTACCTAATCGTCACAGGCGGCGATGACGACGCTATCGGAGTGCTACACCTACATTCCCCGTCTCCAGAGCAAGGCCCCTCGGAATACAAGACACGAAACAAATTCATCATCCGCTCCGCACACGCCGCCGCAGTGACAGGTATCGGGATAGTACGGCTCGAGAACGGAGGCCAGGACGCGATCATCGTCACTGCGAGCAACGACCAGCGCGTCAAGACGTGGCGGCTCGTCGGCTGGCAATCGTCTTCTCCGAAAGTTCATTTGCTCTGCGACCGGTATAGTGGCGTCGCGGATGCGGGAGACTTGGAAGTTGTGTGCGGGCAATACGGAGCCGAGGACGCAGATTTGCTAGAGGGGGGTGTGGGCGATGGCGAGATGATGGTCTTGGTTGCTGGGGTTGGCATCGAGGCTTGGACAGTTTCTTGATGTTGCATAGAAGGAAGATGGAATTGTTACCAACAGCAAATTATTCTGTTGATTCACTATAGCCATCGATCCTAGGCACACACACGGCTGGGGTCTGCCATGTGTTGAGAGAGGCGATGTGCATGTGTAGCTAGAGGAAGTATGAACCATCTGAAATACTTGTATCACCATGCTACTCCTCATAGAAACACTATAATCACGCCGAAATGCACAGACGTAACCGAATAAACCCGCTAGGGATCGCTCATTCGCCACTTCTTTGATCCCAGATCTTTTCGCATGGTGGACATGAGATCGCCGCCCTCAAAATTCTCTGCCATTTCATCCTCGGGTGAACTCGGGACACCGGGTCACCATACGGAATACTTCGAAGACATTGCTCAGCCCAGAAAAAACAAAGTCATCGAAACCTTCGCGGAGCATTATTTATTAGATTGAGAATAAGCAAAAATAGTGTTCCTGCCCGGGATCGAACCGGGGATCTTCTGTGATCAACTTTCAATTTTGTTGTAAGACAGATGCCATAACCACTAGGCCACAGAAACCTGCGTCCACCGGCGTCTCCATCGGTATGAGATAAAATTCACGAAGCTAAGTAGACGTATAACGGAGCTACGAAATTGTTGAAGTAGATTTAGAAAAGATGATTTTGTTGCTTTCTTGCAACCGAATGTATTTGACATACGAAGTACAGCATGTTGCGCCCTGTGCAATTCACATCGTTTTATCAAAAGAGACACCGCGTAAGTCCTGGGATAAGAAGGGTATCTAATTATTACCTTAGGAGAACCCAGCGTACTTTTTTTGTCAGCGGTTTCTTGCAGATAAATTTCAAAAATTCTCCCAACAGTTTTTGCCGGCGATTATTTGCTTCCTCCTACATATATTGTAATTACATGGATTCAATGATAGATCCCAATCCCCGGGTCAGGTATGATAAGATAAGCCATAAGAAACACCTAAGGTGGGGCATCAGCGAACAGCTTGAAGAGCAGCTTCGAGCTTCGACTTAGTCGTTAAGACTGAAACCACTCAAGAGAAATAATGAGCAATCCCGCCGCCCGCGCGCTGCTGCGCACTAGATTCGCCCGTCCCCAGGCTGGGACGAGGTGTGTGCGCCCAATTGACCGCTGAATCGCCATTACTGACAGCTACGACAGGAGCTACGATGTAGTCGCAGCACGCACACGCACGAGCATTGCTGCCCGCACACCCTCTCAACATCAACCACTCCTAGTCCTCTCCGCCTATCCCGCACCTCAACAGCCACAGCTATGCATCGCACAGAACGTACGAGCCTTCCACGCGTCCGCCGGGCTCTATAAGAAGAAGAAAAACGCCAAGAACAGCACGATCAAAAGCGGCGTCCTCAGCAAGAGCAACGAGATCTTCACCTCGCTAGGGGACGAAGGCGGCAGCGAAGAGACAGAAAGCAAACACCCGAAACCCGACCCGTCGGACCCCCTGAACTTCGCCGACGTGAATTCGAGAATCGAAGGGATCAACGAGAAGTACTCGACGAAGCTAAAGCGCATGCGCGCGGGGGCCTTCGACAGCGACTCTATTGGCTCCCTAGCAGTCCTCGTAGACAAGAGCGCAGGCACAGCCTATCCCCTACGCGAACTCGCGGCGGTTGTTCCGCGCGGGGGGCGCACGGTGTCTTTGCTCGTGCACGAAGCGAGCTACATCAAGCCGATCATGTCGGCGGTTCAGGGTTCTCCGGACTTCAACCAGCAGCCGCAGCGGGACCCGGACAACGAGTTAGAGTTGGTTTTGCGGATAGAGCCGGAGCAGCCCGAGGAGTTGAAGACGCGGTTCAAGACCCTTACGAACCAGTGGCAGGAGGCGCTAAGAGGTGTTAGGAGGAAGAGGATGAGCAAGCATAGTGTCTGGAAGAAGGAGGGGCTTTTTGGGGTCGATGCGAAGAAGCAGGCGGATGAACACCTTGAGAAAGTCATGAAGCCCGTCATGGCGCAGGCTGAGAAAGAGTGTCAGGCTGCGTTGAAGGCTGTTGAAGGGTAGGAGGAGTTGAGAGGAAGGGTCTGTATGTGTGTGTGTGCGTGTATTTATATGTCTACGAGGACCGAGAGCCTCCCGCCTGTTACGTAGCTTTGACAGCGTCTCGAAACGTACTGTTGCACTACTAGGAATCACAATACAAATTGTAAAAGGTTCATGTCAGATGTCAGCGTATTTGTACGTGTACATTGTGTAAGGTCTGCCCGTTTTACGGATTCAATATGGTACAGTTTACGCCCGAGCTACAGAGCAGATTGTCTCACGGACGTATTCGTGCGCTGCGTGTCTGGCCCCTATGCTGTCTTCTATGTTTTTACATTCGGACCAGACCCGCCTCTCCGCAAGGCCTCGGGCAGAAGACTCCTGACTTTCTCCTCGATGCGTCGGCTTGCTGTCGAATTCCACGTCCCATCTCTCTTAGCATAGTTCCGCACAGTGGCAAGCGTGTCTTGCCGCTCAGCATACTGCGGGCCCTGGTACATGCCGAGGAGCGTGTCCTGGAGGATCGCATCTTTAGTCTCCTTGGGGACGGGCGCCCAAGCCTCCACACCCATATCCTGCGCCGCGTATTTCTTCATCTCCTCGGTGGGGAAGAACACGCCGTTGTCGTGGTTGTACCGGTCCCACATGTGCTTCGTGGACTGGGGCATGAGGGGGTGGAAGGCGTCGCCGCCGCCGAGCACGCGCGCCTGGCGGATCACCGTCTCCCCCTTCGCGTAGCTGGACTTGGCCATCGGCGTCGAAGGGCCCCAGCCGGCGAGGTCCTTCTCCACGAGCGACGGGTCGAACTGGTGCAGCTCGCCGATCTCGCGGGCTTGCCGCATCTCGATGATCTTGGGTATGGAATAGTGGCCCGCCGGTTCGAAGTCGTCTTCTTCGCCCTTGCCTTCGCCGCCTTCGCCGTCTTCGTCGCGCCGCCGCGACCGCCGACCGCCGCCTCTGCCCTCGCCATCTTCTCGACCCCGGCCTCCCCGGCCTCCACGACCTCCGCGACCCCGGCCGCCTCTACCGCCACCTCCAGCGCCGAACCCTCCGCCTCGCCCGAAGCCGCCTCTGCCTCTGCCTCTGAACCCGCCACGAATGATGTTGGCACCACCGCGTGGAGACGCACCGGGGACGGCAACGGTTGTGGGCGGGGATCGTAGATCAAGACTTCTGAACCCAGTTTCTGGTCGGTCGGTGGGCGAGGATCGTAGATCAAGACTTCTAAACGTAGTCTCTGGTCGGTCGGTGGGCGGAGCATAGCGAGGAGCGGTGGTGGGTGCTCGTGCTCGTGCAAACTCGAATTGGCCGGGGCGATTCGTTCTCGCAGGCGGCGCATCGCTGCTGTTCAATCCCCTGAGGTCTGACACGGCTGCGGCGGCGCGCTGTCTCCCCGTCGGCCTCGGACTGTCGTTACCATCGCCGCGGTCGAACGGTCCGGCGGCAAGTTGCTGGGCTGTGGAAAATGCACGCAGAGAGGCTGCTATGCCGTCTGTGACTCGATTGATATCTGCCCTCGTGCGGCCCACGGCCGAATGAAACGGGTGGCGTATCATAGGGCCGAATTGATGTGGTTTGTGGTATTGAATGCTGTGTCGGTTTCCATATCGGAAATTTCGAGGCCAAGCTTGAGTGGGATGTTGCTGCACCAAGTGAAATTTGGGGATATGCAGCAAAGCGAGTGTCCGCTACAGCGCATGTACTAAGGCGGTGTTGAGGTGGGGCCCCGTCAGGCCGCCCCGTATTACGTACTGAATTCGCTATGAAGAACTTCAAGTCCTCTAGGTTTCGAGACGTTGTTAATTGTTCCGCCATTATTTCGGTCCGAATTGTCATATAATTAATTATTATATTTTTCAAAGTATGGAGAAAATAATTCGGTATGCTTCTAACTTTGCAGCGGCTTGTCCATGCCGCCATATGTGATCGATTTGATATGTTGATACTCCTCAATACCATACTTCGATCCTTCTCTGCCAAATCCAGACTGCTTGACACCTCCAAACGGCGAAGCAACGTCAGAAATCAGACCGGTGTTGACGCCTACCATGCCAACCTGGAGGCTTTCAGCTACTCGGGTTATCCTCTCCAGGTCCCGAGAGAAGAAGTACCCAGCCAACCCAACTTCGGCAGCGTTGGCCAAATCTACCACTTCCTGCTCGGTTTCAAATGGGAATAGGCCAGCAACGGGGCCGAACGTTTCTTCGCATGCAATAGCCATGTCTTTGGTCATCCCTGTGATCACCGTGGGCTGGTAGAAATTGGTTCCTAGGTCAGGCATCTTCTGGCCTCCTACGACGACCTTCGCGCCCTTTTGCTCGGCATCTCTCACGTGAGCATCGGCCTTGGAGACGGCGCGATCGTGAATTAGGGGTCCGTGGGTGATGCCCTCGTCGAAACCGTGGCCCACCTTGAATCCCTTGACCTTTTCGGTAAACTTCTTTGAGAACTCATCGTAGATGCCCTTCTGGACGTAGATTCGGTTCGCGCAGACACACGTCTGGCCTGACGAACGGAACTTAGACGCGATAGCGCCCGCGACCGCGGCGTCGACGTCAGCGTCGTCAAACACGATGAACGGCGCATTCCCACCTAGCTCCATGGACAAGATCTTTAGGGTCGAGGAGGCTTGCTTCATGAGCAATTTACCAACACCTGTAGAGCCCGTAAATGATACCTTTTGGATCGTAGGATGTGTCGTCAGGGTCTCGCCAACCTCGGGGGTGTTTTTGAGCGAGGTCACAACGTTTACGACACCCTTAGGTATGCCAGCTCGGTGCGCCAGTTCTGCTAGTGCTAAAGATGTGAACGGTGTCTCGCTCGGCGACTTACACACAGTCGTGCAGCCCGCGGCGAGAGCAGGACCAATCTTGCGCGTAATCATCGCCGCAGGGAAATTCCAGGGTGTAATGAGCCCACAGACACCTACCGGTTGCTTCAGCGTGACTACTCTGTTTCCAGGAACGGTCGCTGGTATGGAATCGCCGTATGCTCGCGGGGCCTCTTCGCTGAACCATTCGAAGAACGACGCAGCGTAGTTGACCTCGCCTTTGGCATCTGCGAAAGGCTTGCCGTTCTCTAATGTGATTAATCTTGCTAGATCCTCCGAGTTTTCCATCACTAAGTCGTACCATTGCCGGAGCAGCTTAGACCGCTCACGGCCGGTCTTGGTGCGGAAGGACTTGAATGCTTCGGCCGCCGCCGCAATCGCCTTCTCCGTATCCTTCGTATCGAATTCGGGACATGTTCCAACCAGCTTTCCTGTTGCGGGATCGTGGACCTCGAAGGTCTTGCCAGAGGCGGCTTTCACCCACTCGCCATTAACATAGCAGACGTCGGTTTTAAATAGCGACGGGTCATTTAGCTATAATTCCCCATTAACCAATTAATGCCTCGCCTACAGTCATACTAGGTGTGTGTAGCTAGCGAAGGCTTACCTTCGGAGGTATTGTGGAAGCGAATCTCGATACTACTAATGGAAGAGTGGCTCTCTGAAATTGCGACCTAATAATGAGCGGTACGGAGGACCCTGCACTCCTTTGGA